ACTTTCAGGACGACAATGCCAGTTGTCATGTTTCGACGTTAACCAAGGCTTGGTATGGTGCCAATGGAGTTCATCGAATGGACTGGCCTGCCCAGAGTCCAGACCTGAACCCTATCGAGAACCTCTGGGACGAGTTGTATCGCTGAATTCAGGGGTGCACTACCCGTGCAAAATCGGTGAAGGAACTTCTATGTCTTCTCCAAGCCGAGTGGAAGAAAATACCACTAGCTGTCATACAAAGACTTATGGAAAGTATGCCCCGGAGGGTCCACGCTGTAATTACCTCTCGTGGAGGCTCTACCAACTATTGATTTTGAATAAAGTTAGTTTTTCTTTTCTATCACAGGTGTCCAAATACTTATTGGTAGTCAGTGTAATATAGAATGCTACTTTAGAATAAGAATTTCAAGGCCATTTCTTTCCACCCAAACCATGATTTGTAACCAATGCAACGGCTACTGCGGAAAGAAAGTCGAATCCTCTAATTTCCTAAAATCCTTTTTCCCCTGTGCGCGGCGATGACAAAATTGGTTGCGATCGTAAATGAGGATAGGGTCGCGACGACTTTGAAGCTCCTATTTTAAAGAAGCAGACTATAGTAAGTGTTATAGTTTCATTGAAAATATTTTATTTTATGTATTGTTTGCAGTAAATTTGTAGGGTTGACCTTGCATCTAGAAACCTGTATTAATGTTCTATAGACCCAATTAGATTGAATGCAAGCTCTAGCTTTAGTTTGGAACAAATGTTTAAGTCTAAAGAAGGATAAAATCGCGAAAATTTCGGGTATGCTTTTCCAATGGAAATATCCCTTTCGATTGTTCCCGAATCAATTTTCATTATTTTTTTAAGTGACATCTATACGTACGGACAGAACAAAGGATACTTTTTTCCCAGAACGGATTGTAAAACTGGATTCAAAATGGATTATTTCTTGAAGTTTATATATATATACACACACACACGTATGTATCTCGCATAACTCAAAAGTGAATAGCAGTATAACGATGAAATTTTGTATGTGGGACTGCTATAATATCTAGTTGTGCATCTCCTTTTTTATTGAAAGCGGTAGTAACAAAAGCAAGTATATATATATATATAGATAGATAGACACAGAGAGAGACAGATTCTGCCAAAAGTATATTATCTGTCTAATTATATATATATAGATATATAATATATATATATATATATCATATATAATTTTATATATATAATAATATATATATATAATATATATATATAATATATATATAGAGAGAGAGAGATAGCTATATATATGTAAATACCCCTTCCCTGCCGTTTATTTTAGTTGGTCGTAGACATATACTTCTAATTACAAAAGTGTTTTGAACGATGAAAATATTCATGTTTCGTTTTAACGAATAACGAAATATAATTTATAATATTGTCTGCCAGTTTCTCTACTTTGTTTGGGAAAGTTTTATATTACTTATAAAAAAAAATAAAAATACAAGTTTGACTCCCATACGAGAAAAACTAACCGGCATATTTATCATCAAAACATGGAATTTTGTATATCATTTTCGACTTGCTTGGAGGGATCGGTTAACTCGAGAAATTCGAGAAAATAAATTTAAATGAAGTGCAGAAAAAAATGTGTATAATTTAACACGCCGTATAGGGTATCGGGCTACAGGCGTTATTTCCCTAGTAAACAAAAAGGAGGAAGATATATGTTTTTCTCGCAACTTGAAGAGGAATACTGAGTCACGTATTAGATGAATAACAACCCTGACAGGTGCTACGTTTACCACAGATATCTGTAAGACATGTGCTATGAAACTGAGTCAACTTTATCAAAATATTTAAGATTATCGATGCAAGGTAAATTACCTTTAAGAAAAAAACATTTTCCCCTTAATGTTAATAGAAACGGTCTCATCTATGTTATTAAATAATGAAGAATCTGTATGTGTACGTAAGGATGTATGTAGGTATGTTTCTCGCATCGTACATGACTGGCGATACCTACAGCCACCCAATTTAAAACACATGCAGTCCTCCATCCGAGTACTGGCACTCGAATTTTAAATTTCGAATTGTTTTTACTTATTTCGTATTTTGCGCGAATTTAATGAACTGATTAAAAACTCAAAGATATAAAAGCTTTGCATTGCGGAGCGGCAATGCGGGAGATATCTAAGTATCAAATTTAATTAGAAATTAGGCGATATAAAAGAAGAGTGTTGAGATTCGGCAAAGCGTAATTTGTGTTTTGAATTTTATCAAAAAACTCAGAAATTTAAAAGAAACGGGTTGCACTGCCCGAATTAAACACGACCAATAGGCTGCCATTCCGCAAAGCGTAATATATTTCATTTTCTTTCAAATGCATTCTGTTATTCATTAACAAACTAAGCGATTTAAAAGCAATAAGTGCAAATACATTTTAATTACGACTAATTACTAGCTGGGCTCATGAAATGGCATTAGCCGGATTCATTAAAATTATTTTATATTATTTTCATTTTTATAATAATTACTTTAGGCATCTGTTTTCGCAAGTAGCTAGTGTTATTAAAAAGAAAGTAAAAGCAAAGGAGAGAAGCAATAACGAATAAAAGAAAGAAAATCTTAAAGGATTCAGACTTCAGCGTCCCACCAGAGAATTTGTTGAGGTGTTTTATTCTGTCGCTGAGCATGGCAGATAACCAGTCTGCTCTTGGACTCGCTCCTTGCTAACACAATTGATTTGCCCCTTTATTTTTATTACTTGCATCGTTTTTCTTCTTAATCACCATAAAATTCGAAGGTCCACCAACGGCCGAGCGGTAAAGTCGTTGAAAACTGGTAGTTCGATCCGAGGTTCGTATCCCACGAACGGGCTGGTTGCATGGGCGTTTTCGTGGTTTTCTCCATGTGTAACGTGTGTACGAGCTAGTTTCCCTTAGAAAGTCCTCCACGAAGGCATCCCTCCCCTTAGGCAGATAGCCCCTAATGTGCTTTGACATAATTAAATAAACCAAACCAAACCATAAAATTCAAGAATATTCACGAAATATTTCAAAACAACATATCTTTAGAGTAATGTAGGGGCTGCCATATATTTTTCTTTTTTAATATTCGCTAAGGTATTTCTTTGAAAACTACCCGCTCGAGTGGTCAGCCGCCTAAAAGAGTTATCATGAAAAGGAAAAAATGTGTAACGATTTTAATGATTTCAGTTAAGTGTCATTTCAGAAAAAATATTTAAAATTTCTAATTGGACATGCCACTATTTAAATACCTTTTTATTTAAATCAATCAGATTTAAAGTAGAAAAAATATTTTTAAAAACTGCGTTTATTGCTTTTCAGTAGCTCCATTTGTTACTCATAACACAAAATGATTAAATTTGAATATTAAATATCTTACAATTTACTAAATGGCAATATATTGGTGGGCAGAGACAATACGTATTCCATTCGATGCTATGCCAACATATTACTTTCAAGTACCGGGATTGGGGAACTAAAACTGAAAGACAAAATCTTACACTTTGGCGAGCGGCAACAGTCTGCCGCGCTGGCAATAAAAATATTTTATTTCGAACAGTGTTGCCACTTCGCTCTTTCAGATCGATGACTTTGCTAAACGAAGATTCGTTAAAATTTTAAAAAAGACAAAACGAATCTGAAACAAATTCAAAATTCGGACTTTAAGGTACCCATACTCGAGTAGAGGTATTAAAAATTCGGTAGCTTTAAGTGCTGTAGTCTTCTTACAATGCGAAGAACATGAGAAAAAAAACTATACAGCCACCTAGCGCATTCAATCTGATGTAAGTTTACATTTTGGCCTACGAATTCGGGTTTTATGACTTATTTGACATTCAGTAGGTCATAGATTCTAAGTTATAAATGTAATAATTTAAAATTTTGAAGAATGAGTCTGCATAAAATTCATAACTGATCTACGAATTTTTGCCATCTCGGAGAAGGTATGTTTCAACTAAGAAAGTTTCGTGTCTCGTCAGTATAAAAATTGTTGCCACTTAAGTCTCCGTGGAGCGTACATTCATGATGGAATATATTTAAAGAAAATTTGTATTTATATATTTTATTTTTATCCCTGTCGTTTGGCATTTTTCTTTCTCAGCAAGTCATTTTAAACAAATTGTATGTTGAAATTCTGAAGACCATTGAACTACAGGGGTGGGCAAAATTAAGAACATTTACAAATTATGTCTACTTTTACGAAAAGCATCAAAACATAGGTACTAATTATGCTGCCGAAGAATAAAAAAGTTTTAAATTTATACTTCAAAATTTTAATTGTTAAAGTTCTTTTCAGTTAAACCTTTTTTTAACTTTTAATAGTAAATTCTTGCTTAAAGTATTATTTGTTACTTGAAATTTTCAAATTCCCCCCTTTTTTGTTGTTGTTGTTTATATTTTTAACTGTTTGAATTCCTTTAAATAATGAAGAACGAAAGTGAAATCGTACAGAAAAACAGACAAAAGTAGAGTAAGAAACACAATCAGACATTTTAGCACAGAGAAAGAAAGAAATGTAGTCACATAAAAGACTGCTGAAACCGCTTTCAAAGAAAATAGCACGAAGATTCCCCCCCCCAAAAAAAAGTCTTCTTTGGAGAAAAGTTTGTCTTTTAGTCATATGTAAATAAAAAAAACCGTGAACGTTCTCTGGGTCACCAAACCATTTCACCGTGGAGTGCAATAACAATAAAAATTATTTTAATAATTTGGCCAGTTACGGGTCAAGGAAGAAAAATCTATAATAATTTATTAATTAACACAGATGGCAGATGATGTTTTTAACTCTTCGGTCATTTATTTAAAAGAGATTAATTGGTGACTTGCAACTCTCTATTTCATCTTGTAACTGCTTTCCGCTTGATTTCGCTGGCATCCAAACAGCCAAACCACATTTGGCGAAACTTAACCGTCACATTTGGCGAGAACCTCGATTCATCTGCTTTTTTGTTACAGGGTCGTAGCAACCCTAAAGCATCGTGTGGAGGATCGCGGGAGTCTGTCGTAATGTTCGTGGAACATTCTGAACCGAACGTGGCGGCCAGTTCAAAACGTTCGATCATATCCATGCTTTAGCGATTGTGTTTTCATTTTGTGCTGTTTCTGTAGAATTAATAATTTTGTAATAAGTGTGTAACTGCATCGGAAGCAATTCTTTTGGATTACACTGAAAATTAAAGACCAGAAATATTTGGATATATTGATTCCTCGAAAAACACGTAAGTTGCACATCTTATTAATAAAAATTTTTCTTAATCGTTTATTCACTGCTTAGACCGTAGATTTTCAAATTTATGGCCGTGATAAACAAGGGAAGTGTAAAATGATTGAGAACGCAGCTCTACCAAGCATTTCATTATTATTATTATTTCTTTAATAAACTATACTAAGAAACTAAAGTTTTATGCATACAAAATAACATTTTATATTAAAATGATTATATATTGAATCAAGGCAGCTCGACATTTAAAGTATTAATTGTAATGCCGTATATATCATTGTTTATCATCATCTATATCATTTTTGTACCGTATAAAATTGCCAATGTATATTATAGACACTTTCGAAATATGAAATGGTTTCGAGAGTTCTAAATCTTAGCCATGATTGACCGTTTCATTTTAACCCTCTGAAAGACTCGGGTATTTGGATCCTTCACGAAGACCTGTAAGCCTTTGTTAGCTAAATTTGTATATTTACTTATTTTAGTCTCTATTGTCATAAATTTCTTTATTAACATGGCATTTTTATTACTGAAGAAAATAATAAAACGAAATGCCGAGCGACAAAAAAATCTCATGACAAGATAAATACGGTCATGGTCCTAACAGTGTTTTTAAGATAAAATATGCAGAATATTTTTAGTGGCTGTAATAGGTGTACTATGTACTTTCAGATATCCAGGTTAATGCCGGGTAACAAGTCACGGATAACTGAAAAACACGAATAATCTAAACTATCAATTTTCATACTGCATATTTATTTCTAAAAAATAAATAAATAATTTTACTACAAAAATTTTATTTACAAAAAATAAATAATTTTACTTCGTTTAAAAATTTATTGAATTTCACTACGTATTTTTCGAAGTGCTATTTTCTCATTGTACTGGAACTCCCTTTGCTCGACGAAGTTTAGTCAGTAAAAGTCGTTACTGTCTAGGGCCAATGTAATTGTCAATATATTTTTCTCTCATATTTTCAGAATGACTTTCTGCCTCCTTCTGTTCTGGTGACAGTTGAAACGATATCCGCATCATTCGAGCCTTGAAAGCTCGACTCTGTCGAATCGCTCATCGAATCATTCCTCGACGATTTCTCTGTCGACATTCTCCAAGAATTTTACATTTTCATTTTTTTTCACTTACAACTTCAGCTATTGCATCGACTTCTTTATAATAGATCCCAGGCCATCCAGGTCCCAGATTTATATATCCCAGGTCTAGGAACCGGGAGACCGCGTTAAAAGTTAGATTTCGTTATTTATTCTTTTTTTTTTTTTTTTTTTTTTTTTTTAAGTTTGACATTGTCAAAATATAAATATTTTCGTCATTTTAAACACTTCATACACTAATTACAGTGTGTAATTGGAAGTCACATACTTCCTATTACACAGTGTAATTGGAAGTATATGACTATGACTAACAATTGCTAAAATAAAAGCCGGGTGAGGGGTAGGGTGTATATTTCAACGTTGTACGCCTAAAATCGTTTTAGGCGAGGCGCATACGTTCGAACGCACGTACAAACGTCACGAAAAAATCCGTTTTTAATCTATACATTAGTTAGGCAAGATACATATGTACATAATTACAGACAGAGGTCACGAAAATGTCTATTTTTAATTTAATTAATAATTAAAGCCATTTTACAGTCTGCTTTGTTAAAGAAAGTCCTTTATTTTGTCTGTACATACAGATGTTACGCAAAACACTAGTCGGTATGAATTCGGGAACGATCAAAATGGATATTTCCTTTGAAGTATGATACTCGAAACTTTTCGCGATTACATTACTTCGTACAAGGCAGTAAAAAACTACTTTTATTCCAGCTGTGGTATTTATCAACGCTATCTGTATTCTTTCTTGTTTAATTTATAAAATAAACTTTAAAATATCTAAATTTAAATAAATGTATAGGTTTTTCGAATTTGGAAAAGGAGGAGGACGATCGTTGAGTAATAGTGAAAGGGGTGCATGGGGCAAAAAAATTTCAAACCACTGGGATGTAAATTAAGAAAACTTCGTGGGATTATTAATTAAGTATTTTTAGACTTTGAAAAGTAATAAATAAGTATTGTGGAAAATCTTTCGGCTTACCAAATGTAACAGGATTTTAAATTAAAGACATTGGTAAATCACGAAAGAATATCATTGAATGATATTTAAGGGAAAACTACCTCGACTTATTTTAATTCATTTCTTAACGGACTACTCAACACAAATTGAAATTGGCGCCAAAAACAGCAAATTTTGGAATCAAATATCTCGGACAATTTTTTTTTCGCACGAGTGTCAAACGTTTTGTACGTTATGACAAAATGTTTCTAGAGAAAATTGTGAGGACTGGAAGAACGGATAATAAATTAACCTTCGTAATTTTTACAAAATTGATTCCTTCAAATTTAAAAATACGAAAACATGAACCTTTGCGTCGTTTAAAACATGTTATAATCGGATGCATATGTCTACGCCCAACGATTGTGGAATATAGAGTCGGATAAGGAGTTTTGAGGTTAGGTTATATATGCAACCTATATCACTAGTAAAATAGTGAGTGCTTAATACGTGTTGCTTTGGTCTTTGAATGTTTTCTTAAATCCTGTAAATCTTATTATTAAATGAAACATCACAGTTATCAACAAATGAGCCTTTACTCGAATGAGTATCACAAGCCTAACATTTTCTGAAACTCTTTCAAAGATAAATGAACTGATTAGAAACATCCAAAGAGAGTATGAAAAATGCGTGAATTTTAGAGATAATTGACAATAGATTGTCTTTAAGTTGCTCATGAAATTCCATCGTTGTCTTTTTGTTTTATCGATGCACTAATTTGGTAATTAGCTAGAGCTGACTGAATCTGTCAAAAATATTTCCTTCATTTATGTTTTATTTTTTAGCTGTTAAATAAATCAGTTCGTAATTTTTGTAGTTTTTTTCGGTTAAAATCATTTAAATAACATGCAAAATGTTCTTGACTGATCTCTTTTGGTTTAACTATTGTTAAACTAAAAGTCAGCAACTGTTAAAGGCAGATTAAACACTTTATACAGTATGTTGATGTGATTATAGATAGAATCTTAATAGCATTTCGAGTGGATGAAACCTCTAAAGTTCGTTAGATCATCTTGGGCTGAACTCGCCTACTAGTGGCTGAATGGATAAGATCACTAAACACCTGTAGTTAGATCCGGGTTCTAATCCTGGAGAACGAGTTGACTGCATAGGCATTTTGATAATTTTTCACATATGCTACTTCCGCGAACGGCCGAGCGGTAAAGTCGCTGATCACTGGTAGTTTGAGCTGGATTTAACTTCAGGCGAACATGCTTTTGTAATTTTCACCATGCGTAACGTAAATATGAGGCCAGGTTCTCTTATAAAATCCTACACGTAGGCATCCCTCCCCTTAGGCAGATAGCCCTGTATGCTATGTCATAAATCAAAAACAAACCTTCCTGCGAACAGGCTGGCTGCATGGAAATTTCCTTGTGCATGACGTGAATATCAGCCCGTTTCCCTTAATCAGTCTCGAAAAACTTCACGAAGGCATCTCTTTTGTAGGCACATAATTCTCGCGTGCTTTGCTAAAATTCATTACCATTGTAGCCTAAAATTCCATTCCATTAATTTAATCCATTTCCATTGTAGCCTAAAATACGAGTTAAATTAGTTCCATTTAAAAAGTTCTCCACGAAGGCATACTTTCTTGCCACGTAGCCCTTGCGTACTTTGCTCTAATTAAATTAACCAGCCAACAAGGAAGCGTTGGGAGAATTCTCGGCGACTGAATGTTCGTAAGCTGCACTTACAAATATGAGCTCTCTTTTTTTTTTTTTTTTTTTTTTAAATCCTTTACGAAAACGCACCTTGTAAAAGAGTGTAGTTCTTGACTTTTCGCTGTAATAAACAGCCTACTTTCGGAACATTACTTAGTAAAGAATAATTTCGATAAAAAAAAACATGACTTAAAGTGTGCACCAATCATGATATAGATTTTTATTTCACCATTTCTCTCAACTGCAATTGTTCAGCTTTTAGAACTGTACATTAGTTTTAAACTGTTGAAAACCCTGATTTGGTCTTTTAGACTTTTAATTTTTTTTAAGACAAGGCACGATTGTGAACCGTCTTCGATTAATTCAGAATTAGCTAATGATGATTTCGTATAATTGAAATATTTTCTTATTTTGTTCAAAAAATAGAATAAAATTCGCTTTTGTCAACAAAACTGTCAGACTTGTGATGAACTGTAAGAACATTTTCCTGACCTTTTTCAGTCATGAATTTTGTTTTGGATTCAGTATAGTTTGGAATTCGCGGAAATAAATGGATGACAATGATTACAATATTAATAGTCAATTAAGACAGTTCGTTCTGTAAAATATTATGCAATTATTCGCGGAAATGAAGTAATTTTTTCCTAAACTATTATTATTAGAAACATTTGATTACACTGTGTATTTGGGACACTGGTTATAGAAAGATATTATATAAATTCCAACACGCTACTTCTTCATTCATCCGATTTCGCAAAAGGCGCCAAACGTTTTATAAAACTCGCTAACATATCATAACATGAAGGTTAACTGGTAGAAACTTGCTCTAGAGGTAGTTTGAATTATATAAATGAGATTTAAAATTAATTACGTCCGTAAAATAAATTACACTTTCATATAGTTTGTTTGAAAACCAGTTTTAACTTCGCCGTTCAACATTTCAATATGCTTCTCATGTTTATTGTGAAACAATTTGTTTTATTTGAATGTTCCAATTAAAGTTTTCAGATACTTTTTAACTAAAGCTTGAAGAGTGTTATGTATAACACGTTTTAATTTAATAGAATTATACTCCTTGGAAGGGTTAGGTTATGTTAAAATGCGTTTCTTAATGTTATGATAACATTTTTTACGACTATTGTATCGTTATTGATTAGATAAAAGTCACTTAAAATCCTGGGATGCTATGAATTGCTTATCTGAGTATGAGTTGTCAAAA